AAAAAAAAAAAAAAAAAAAAAAAAAAAAAAAAAAAGGGTGGGGCGTACGGGAAAGAAAGCCGAGGCTTGGTTTTTGAACACTCTACCTGTGCTGTGCACTGTTGACTGTCCTGTCAGCACAGTGTCTTCCCTGCTGGAGGAGACCCGAATTTCTGCTGGAGATGCTGATTTGTGGCAAATCTCTTTGGGCTCTTTTCCTGCAACGGAAAGAGAAGTCAAACCAACCTCTCACTGTTGCCCCAGCACCTCAACCATCCCCAAAGGATTTCTGTTCTGCAGATGAAACCCCCTGATCTCTGGTCCAGGTTCTGCTCCAGCAGATGCCACGAGGTTGATCCCGCTCAGTATCAAGGAGAGGGAGAAGCTGAGGGAGCCCAGGGGCTGGACCCATCCTGAAGTCATGGAGAGAAACCTGCTTTGCTCAGGGCTGTTTCCCACCCAGTGCCCACCAGTGGAACGAGCCCATCCCACCTCTGCACCACAGAAACCCTCCCTGACCTGGACAACCACCTCAAGCTCCCCCTCTCCATCCCTTCTACCCCCTCCCTCTGAGCCCCTGAATGCTCCTCGATCCCCTTCCACCTTGCAAGATGATTTGACAAGGAGAAAAAGAGGAAAAACCCGGTGGGTTTTGTGTTTTGGTGGTGGTGGATTTTCTTTTTCCTCCCCCTAACCTCGCTTACAGCCAGCTCTGCCTCGCTCTGAAAGCCCCCCGGCTGTCTTTTGTGATTTCAACAAATCACCGGCACTTAAGCAAAGTGGGCAGAAAATTACAGGTTGTATTGCAAGTGAATGGAGAGGGAGAGCGCGCCGGGGCCGGGAAAACAGAGGTTTGCGGGTATAACAGAGAAAGCAGGGGCTGGTGGGGCTGGGAGCCGCCAAAGCCATCGGGTATCAGTTAAATGCTTCGCGGGAGTTCACGCTGCGAGGCGTAATCGCAGCTTCTGAGCAGCAGCCATTTGATTGTGTCTATTATGTCCCTCCTGAAGCGATCTGGGAGATAGTTCGCTCGGAGCCGTCAAGGTTAAGCCAAGGAAAACGCTCTCCCTCGGACGGGAGGCTCCAGGAAGGCAGGAACCCTCCGCGGAGCTGGGTGGGATGGCTCTGCTTCCCGGGGCTCTGTCCTCCTGCTTTTCCCCTCGAGGTTCCTTCCTCCCGTGGTTTTTCCACGGCTGGATCGGCCGCCTCGGGGATGGAACATCTCTCGGATTGCTCGCGGAAGGAAGGGGATCCGTGTAGCTGTCCCGTCCCCGCCGTGTCTGGAGTCCCCTCCTCGTCACTTCTGGGCTCTTCGGATGGTTTTGGAGGTGCAGAGGTCGCGGAACGAGCTGGGGAGAGACGGGGGGAGGAGAAAACCTCCCTTGTGGGAGAGCTCTTACCCCTTAGCGGCCACCAGAGTGTCACCCTGGCCACGGGAGACCTCCGTGCGCGTCTCCCACTGTTGGTCCTGGTGCCCCTCCGGATCTCCCGTGCCCTGGAGGAGCAGCACAAGCTTTGGGGAGGGGATGGAAGCGCGGGGTCCACGGCCAAGCCCAGAGACCCCGGGAAGGACGTGACAGAAAACAAAAACACCGAGCCAAAGGATGGGGTCGTTTGGATCTTAAGACTCGGGGGGGGGGGGGAAAAAAAAAAAAAAAAAAAAGGATTTTGAAACACAAAACCCAACGCTGGCCGGTGCGGGTTTGCTGCCCTCACCCCAGCGCCTGCAGGGACAGGGGGACGGGTCCTCCCCTCCCCCGGCCTGCCTGGGAAAGCAGCGCCCAGGGGACGGGGAATAGGAAAAAAGATCCTCCGCGGGGGCTGGGGGGGTTGATGGCCCCGTAAATAGATCCGAGCAGCGTCACTATCGATCCGTGCCGCGCGGAGCTGTAATTAGATTGAGCTGGGGGAGAGGGGTGTGGGGCTGCGTCAGCACAAACAGAAATTAATAAATAAACAAACGAGCTCAGGAAATGCGGGGTGAGGCCGCCGGCGGCGTCGCGGGCCAAAAATAACGGGGGGATCGGAGGCGGGGGTGGGTGTGGAGCGGGGTGTCACCTCTGTGTGTGAGCAACAGCCGGCACCAGTTCTACCGCCGGAGCCCAGTTTTGGCAGCAAATCCCTGCTGGTTCGTGTTTGCCTCGGAGCTTTGAGTTATTAATGGGAGATTGGCTTGTAATAATCACTCCTAAAAATTGAATGGGGGGGGTGGGTGGAGGGTGGGGAATGCGAGCTCGGAAAGCTGGAACGAGGGGTCTGAGGCTGCCTGGGCAGTGCGAGCCAAGGGGCGGGAGAATCCCCGGATCCCCGGGGGATTCGCCAGCGGGATTTGTCACGTCCCCCGCAGGTCCTGTGGGGTGTGGGGTGTGTGTTTGCACGCACCTACACGCGGCTGCGTGTCCCGGGGGTAGAGATTCCCCCTCGGTGCCTTCCCTGTGGAGCACCAGCTCATGGAGCCGTGTGGGGAGGTTCCACCAGTGCCACCAGTACGAGGCTGGTGTGGAGCATGCCGGGGGGATCCAGGGGAGGGCGGTTCTGGGGAGATTTTGGGAGGCATTCCGGGAGGGCACGTGGTGGGTGGGTGAGGAGCACCCAGGGGGAGCCCAAACTGCTCCAAACGTGCATGTGCAGCGTGGCGGGGGGAAACACTTTTTCTATTTGTTGTTGTTCAGTTTGGGGGGGTGGAATGTGGGTGGGTCTTTTTTTTTTTTTTTTAATTCATGTCTGGGAAAAGAGGAAAAAAAAAAGTCGAATTTTCTATAAAGGCTTTTTTTTTGTTTGTTCTTTTTGCAAGCATCTGATGGTCATAGGGTAGGTTTCCACATTCTCTGCTGGTTGTTCGAGTAAGGTACCCCTGGGACAGGGTCGGTGTCCCCACCCCCCCCGGCACCACCAGGGCTCCGACTGTCCCTTTGTCCCTAAGGATGGTGGATTTGCAGCCAAACCTGCCTGGGGAGGGGCGGGAGGAGAAGGGGAGGGTTCTCCACCAAGCTTGGTGCCTCCTGTCCCCTGTCCCGGCAGGAGCAGTGACTCCACGAGGGGACGGGGCAGGGAGCAAGCCCAGCAGCTGGGAAAACAGGGCTAGGTGTGTTGGATGAATTCCCTGCTTCCCGGAGCTCTAGTTCTCCCTGGCTGTGGGTGGAAGGGGTGGAAATCACCCCTCTCTGTTAATTCAGAGTGATGTGAAGAGGACTTGCAGTGGAGGCAGCTGAAGGCAAATCAGAGGAGTCCTCGCTTGTTTTCTAGAGGGGAAGAAATGACTTCAACACCCTCCTGCTGCTCCTGGACTGCAACCCACCTACCCTGTCCCTCAACGGGGCTGTGGGGGTGTGTTTGGGAGCAGGAGGGTGTGTTTGGGAGCAGGGAGGTGTGTTTGGGAGCAGGAAGGTGTGTTTGGGAGCAGGGAGGGTGTGTTTGGGAGCAGGGAGGGGTGTTTGGGAGCAGGGAGGTGTGTTTGGGAGCAGGGAGGGTGTGTTTGGGAGCAGGGAGGGGTGTTTGGGAGCAGGAAGGTGTGTTTGGGAGCAGGGAGGGTGTGTTTGGGAGCAGGAAGGTGTGTTTGGGAGCAGGAGGGTGTGTTTGGGAGCAGGAAGGCAGTCAGTCCGAGGGGAACCCTTGGACAGGAGATGCCACCGTGAGCTTTCAGCCTTTGGCCTCTGGCCCCTCCAAGGTCTGTGCACCAGGTCAGAGGGGCTCCTGGAAGTGCAATCAGGAGAATTAAGCTCAGGCAGCACCCACACAGCAAATATCTCAGGACCTGTGCCCTCCTTGTAAAATCCTTTGGAAGGTCTGAACCAGGAAACCCCAAAGGCTGGAAGCTGCTGCTGCCCTGGGCAAGAGTGGGACTCCCTTTGGCAAATCTTTAGCCTGTGGTTTACTCAGACTTTCCTGAGCTCTCCAGGAGGAAATGTCTTGTCCCCAGCCTTGCAGGGCCAGATCCATGCCCTGCCTTGCCCGTGGCATCCTCACCCTTCCACGGTGCCCACACATGTCTGGTCGAGCCCTGCACAGCCCCTGAGCACCCTGGTTGAACCCAGGCAGCTTTGAGGCTGGCCCTGCTTCGAGGAGGGACTGGATCAGCCACCTCCACTATTCTGGAATTTTCTAGGAAAGTGCCTTGTCTCGCCTCTTCCACCGACAGTTGCTTGACATTCCCTCAGTTAAAATCTGTGTGTTTACCAGTGCTTGCCTCCCTCCCTGCCTTCATGCAGCGTGGTGGGGCCAGGGGGGCTTTCCTGCCTCTCACAGTCCATCCCATGTGACAGCCCCTCCGTGCTGACCTTTGGCTTAAGCCAAGCCTGTAGGGTTTTAATTTAATACTGCCAAAGGTTCTGTAGCAAAGGTACACAGGGAAGGTGGAATTTCCCGGAGCTTCAGGTGGTTCAGGCTGTTTCTCCAGCCTCCAGAGGCGGAGAAAACCCTTCCCAGAGCAGGTGGAACCACGGAACAGCAAATGGTGCTTGCAGGCTGGTGGGACAGGGAGGCTGCAGACAGACCTTTCATGGCATCCCTGTGCCTGGCCCTTCCCTGCATTTCAGAGCTGGCAGCTGCATGTGATGGCCAAGAGTTCCCTGAGCCCCCCAGGGAGATCCACAGAGGGGATGAGGAGGCAGGGGAGACCATCCCAGAGTGCAGCAGGGGGGATGGAGGCCCGTGGACAACCCCCAAAGCTCCGGGGTGGTGGAGCAGGTCCCAGCAGCCAGGCTGTGGGAGCAGAGCAGTCCAGGAGCTTCCTCAGCCCCCAGTCCCGGGCTCAGCTGAATATTGGGCTTTTCCTGGGCATCTGATGGGCTTCCCCCAGGCTTTGGTCACAAAACCATGCTCAGAAGGCTCAGGAGGCACAGGGGAGGAGGAGGAGGAGGAGAAGTAGGAGGAGGGAGGTGGCCTAGGGCGCGGCGGGCACCGAGCCAGCATGTTCTCTGGCTCTCGGGAGGCGACCTGCAGGCGGGGCCGGGGTGGTGGGCACCGATTAACGGCCCTATTGTCTCTTTTGAACGCCCCCTCCCCTCCCCCCTCCCCCCCAGCCTGCAAACGCAAGGAGCAGGAGCAGCAGAAGGACCGGAGCCTGCAGCCCAAGAAGCAGCGCTTGGTCTTCACGGACCTGCAGCGCCGCACCCTGATCGCCATCTTCAAGGAGAACAAGCGCCCGTCCAAGGAGATGCAGATGACCATCTCCCAGCAGCTGGGCCTGGAGCTCAACACCGTCAGCAACTTCTTCATGAACGCCCGCCGGCGGTGCATGAACCGCTGGCAGGAGGAGCCAGGCGCCAACCCCGGGGTCCCCTCGTCTTCTACAAGCACTTTCTCCAAGGCATGATGTCCCCCCCACCCCCTCCTGAGCCATCCCCGCCCCTTCCCGCACATCCTCCTCGTGACAAAGCCAACCCCAGACTCGCACGCACGTCCCGGGCCGGCCAGGGTGGGTGTTTTTGGGTCCGTGAGCAGCCCAGACCCTCGCGTGGGCATCGCCCACGGGCGGGGGGGGGGCCTTGTGCCACATCCCGCTGTCCTGCCACGTCTCCCCGGCTCCTTGGACGGGGAGAGGGTTTGGCATCAGGTCAGCTCCGTCCCAGGGAGGGCTCAGAGGAAACCCGTGTGGTGATGGGGGATGGAAGGAGAGAGACAGAGAGAGAGAGGGGCTGTTTGGAAGCATCCCTGGTCCTTGGGGATCACGGAACCTTCTCTTCACCTGCCCATGGGGGTTTTTGGAGAGAGGGGAGCACCCTGATCCCCCAACCAACCTTGCCCTCGGTCACAGCCACCCTGGTGGCTCCCACGGTGGAGGGGCAGAGGTGGGGGAGGTACAAGAAGTGGCAGCAGGGGCTGGGCTGTGGCTCAGCCCCACCGAAACAAGGCCCGTGGTTCAGATGAGGACGAGCAGGGACAACTCTCCCGCCCTGCCTGGAGGGTGACCAGGCTCCTGCCAGGCCTCTGGCTGCTGGAGCTTGTAAAAACCCCTCTGAGGTTCCCCAGGGCAGCCAGACCCTCCCTGCCACCCACACACACGGTGCTTTCCTTCCCAGAGGGTTTTTTATCGAGGACTTTCCATCTCCTCCACGGGCACCTTCCTCTGATCCTCCCCCGGGACGCCCCAAGAGCACCCACACTCCGGCCCTCCCCACGCACACCCCCCCACTCTGACCCCTGAGAGCCCCCATCCCATCCCAGATCCCTCCCGGATCCCTCCCTGGCTGAGGAGTCGCCTCCCCGGACCCGCCGTCCCCCAGCGCGTCGCCTGGCGCCCAAAGCAGGTCAAAGAAGCACATTTTAAGCTACAGAAATCGGGTATTTAAAAAAAAGATGATTAACAATTTGTCCGCAAAGGAGACGGGAGGAGAGACTTGGAGTGAAGGATCTGGTCTGTCTGGCTCCACCCTTTCACCGCTGGGTTTCGCTTTTTCGGTTGAGGAAAAGGGACGCGGGCAAAGCGGATTTGTTGGCTTTGTGCCTCGCCCCATCCGCCCCTCAACACACTCTGTTGCCCCTTCCCATCCTCCCCCTTCTTCATCTCTGGTACCAAAGAAATTACAAAACCAAAAAATGGCAACAACAACAACAACAGCAACGAGTTTGCCTCCCGGGGAACCAACGTCGGCGTCCGGCGGGAAAAGGAGAAATCCGAGGGATCTGGTGGCAAAATCCAGCCCTGGGTGTGAGAAAAAGAAAGAAAAACAAAACACAAAACTCCCCCGGTGAGATCGAAAGGGATAAAAAAAAAAACAACAAAAAAAAAAAAATTCCAACCCACCAAAAAACCCAAGGAATAACGACAGAAACCACAACCAAACAAGCTCGACTCCAAGACCGGCAACTTACCAAAAAGACACCAGATTTTTGGGTTTTGATTTTTTTTGTGGTTTTGTTTTTTTGTTTTGTTTTGTTTTGTTTTTCTTTTGTTGTGCCAATTAACAACCTGCCTTAAAACGCGAATTTCTGGAGCAAGTGGTACTTAGCTTCAAAGGGATCGTTTCCTCCGAGCTCTCGATGGTGACTTGTGCCATATAAAAAAGCAATCACGAGGCCAAACCCTTTGCAATCAGCCCTTGTCCCACCCCCCCAACCCCCCTGCGGGCTCCTTGCCAGCCTGGGGGTCCTTGGGAGGAGCAAGAGGGGACAGGGAAGGGCTGGGAGAGGCTTGGGGATGGACAGGGAGGCAAGGTCCCTCCTTCCCCCACCAGTTGGGGAAAACAAAAAAAAATATAAATAAATCCTCCAAAACCAACCGTCAACCAAAAAAAAAAAAAAAAAAAAAAGGGACACTCTTGAATTTATGCGGGTAAAACAAAACAGTCCCATCTGCGTTCGAACGCTCCGGTTGCTTCGATTCACTTTACTCTGCGAGTGATCAGTTGTGTCACAGGAAGGCACCTTGTTGAAAAGAAGGAAAGAAAAAAAAAAAAGAGAAAAAGGAAAAAAAAAAAAGGAAAAAAAAGAAAACGAAAGGGTACAAGTTCAGCAACAAACAAACAAAAACCAAACCAACAAAAAGAAAAATAACAACGGGAAAAAAAATCCAAACAAAAAAAACACCAAACGGAAAAAAAAAAATCAAAAAGGAAAAAAAAAGCACTAAAAAAAAAAAAAAGAGGAAAGAAAGGACAAAAGAATGAAGAGAGAAAGGAAAAAAATAACAAACCCCCCTGCACACGAAGCCCTGCCCGGCGGGGTCGGAGGACGTCGGTAACCAAAGAGCTCCTGGGGTAGGTGGGCGGTGGAGGGGCCGGGGGTGTCCGATGGACACGGTGACGCCAAACTGAACCAATGGATTGCTGGAGAGAGAGGGCGGGAGGGAGGGGAGAGGGAGAGGCGGGAAGGGGCAGCGTGCTGTGCCACCCACATCCCAAAAAACCCTGCCGGCAAAGCCAATCTCACCCCACCCCCGCCCTCCCCAGGACGCCGCTCCCCCCGCCGCTGCGTTTTTCCCCCCCGATGTTGTTTCTTCTTGTCTTGTCGTGACGTGGTGACGATGGTGGGTGGATTCCTGAACCCCATCGAGTAGTATTCGAAGGGCTGAAAAGCCAGGGAGAAGGGGGCCTTGGTTTGGGAAGTGAAAAAAAAAAAACAAAACCAAAACCAACAAAACAAAGAAACAAACAAACAAAAACACACACAGGAAGGAAAAAAAAAAAAAGGAGGGGGGGGGAAGGAAAAGAAAGCAAAAGGGGAAAAAAATAAAATAAAAAAAAGAGTAAATGCCACAGGCCCTCAAGGATGCAAAGACATTTCTAGTGAGAACCCGAGACTAAAGGCTACCTCACTTGAGTTTTCAATTTTTGTGATTTGAAAATCACAGTCTGATACCAAAGATTTTGTTGCCTTGTCTGGTCTGTGCTGGAAACGCCACTTTCCCTGCTCCCAAGAGACCCTCCCACCCCCACCCCGGCCGAGAGACCCCCCTTGCCACCCCCAAACCCTCCCCCAAAAAAAAAAACAGCCAGCCCCCAGAGTCCCCAGAGAGCGAGGGCGAAGGCGAGCGAGCGGCTCCGGGATGGCAGCGTGGTAGATGAGTGCCTTTTTCTTGTACCAAAGGTGTGTGGCCATTTCTCTGCTCCTCTGCTTTGACCCCTAAAGACTTTTCACTGATTACCTCAGCTCTCCGAAAGGGACGGGTCCCCCACCAGCTCTTGCAGTCTTTGGGTGTTGGGATGAGGGAAAGGAAACCCAACCCTTGTCCCGATCGATGGGGAATCCTCCCCCCCTCCCCTCGCCGCCCGCTGCGGGAAAGGTGCTGGTCCCCCGGTATGTCCCCCCTCTCAGATGTCCCTCTGTCCCCCAGCCTGGGCCCCTCTTGCCCCAGGAGCACTGACCTGGTGTCTGGGGGCAGGAAAAGGCTTTGTTCCATGTCTGGGACCCCACGGAATCCCACGAGGTGACCACATGGGTTTCCTCATGGGAAACTCAAGAGTTTCTTCCCCGCTCAGCTCAGGTTTCCCTGGGCTCTGGTTTCCCTTTCTGGTGGCACAGGAATGGGTTTGTGGCATTTCTGTTCGGAAAGACAAAGGCAGGAGCGGTGGGAAACCTCCCCCTGGGCTCTCTCCAAACCCTTCCCGTAGGGAATGGTCTGGAGCTGTGACACCTCTTAGCAGGAACTTTTCCCGTGCCCTCAGAAGGCTGTTTTTGGCTGGCTGGGGAAGTGTAGCCAGGTCTGCCCCACTCTGCCTCTTGGCTTTGGCCAAAGGCAACAGGAGGACCCTCTGGAGAAGATGCTCTTCCACATCAGTGTCTGGAATTTGGGACAACTTGGGTTGAATGGCACCCACCCGGTCCAGGCTCCTTTTGGGTTGGACCAAACTTGCCCGGGGCCAGCCCTGCTGTGACTCGTGGGGTTGTCACAACAGCAGGGCCAGGAGCTGGAGTCGGTGCCCCTCGTGGGTCCCTCCCGCCCCAGGACATTGTGTGACTCTGTAATTCTGTGATCCTGTAATATTTTATGATTCCAACCCCCCTGGGTCCTCAGTCCCACTGGGCAACCTGAGAGGGCAGGTCAGAGCCCCCCCGACCCCGTCCCCTCCCTGTCCCCCCCTGTGTCCCCTTCCACACTATTGCCTTGGCCAGGCCTTGCCCGACCCCCTGGCTGCTCCCCCCCCTTTTTCTGCCCCCTTCCCACGCAGCTTGTGATACCAAAGACGTTCTCTATGCAGGAGAAAGCCTTCTTTTCCACCCAGCACAGACCTTACAAGCCTTTGACAATGTTCTCTGAAATACCTCAAAATATTTAATGTATAGTTTATGTGATATATATAAAACTAAAAAAAAAAAAAAAAAAAAGACTTAGCTAGTTTTTGGAATTTGTGACTTGAAGCTTTATACTGTTAAATTATAATTTTGCAGAAGACGGCATGTTCTTTATTTCTTTGACGCGTTCCATGGGAGACATATTGAATGTTAAGGAAATGAAAGCTGGATAGTTTCAAGATTTAAGAAAAAAAAACAAAAAAAAAAAAAACCCACACAAAAAAGAGAGAGAGAGAGAGAAAGGGAGAGAGAGAAAGAGAGAGAGATTAAAAAAAAAAAAAAAAAAGGACCCTCGGAGTTTACAGATTTCATATTTAAACAAGTCCTTTTAAGAAAAAAAAAGAGAAAAAAAAAAAAACGAATAACGATGACGATACCTTTGCGTTCAGATGTGTTACTTTTCTCTGAGTCATGTCGTACAAGAGTATTTATTATACGTGTTCTGTGTTCAAATGTAATTTAAAGAAGACCAAAAAAAAAAAAAAAAAAAAAAAAAAAAAAGACAAGATGAGAATTTGATTTATGCATGAAAAAAAAAATATACTCTTTCTTGAAGTAATGTAATAATTATTCGGGGAGGGGTGGCGGGGTGGGGGCGGGAGGGGACAAACTGTGCTTTTATTTTATTTATTTAATTTTATTTTTCTGTCCACGAGTTTTTTTCGGTTGGTGAAGATTCCTCTGCATGGATCACGGTTGTTTTCCAACAAGTCGCTGTTTATCCCCTTTGGTTTCTTCCTTTCTCTTCCTCTGCTCGCCCTGGAAGCCGCGCGGCAGCAGCAGCGGCGAGGGGAGGGTGGCGGCTGCTCGGGGGACCCCCGGGGAGGGTGGGGAGCAGGGCACACCCTGGGACCTGTCCCCACCCCCTCACCACGGAGCCTGGCTCCTCGCCGTGCTTTGTGTTTGGGGTTTTGTGGGGTTTTTGTTTGGTTTGGGTTGGTTTGGTGTGGTTTTTTTTTTGCTTTATGCAGCTCTGGGGGTCTGTCAGGGGTCCAATCCCAAGTGCAGCCGAGAGAAGGAGAGACAATCATCAGCCACCACCACCTGAGCTGGCACAGCCCTGGGGGCTCCTCGTGTGCTCTGAGACAAGGGAAACGGCCCCAGGCACCCCAAACCTTCCCTCAGGGCTGGGACCTCGCCAGGGGGTGACCCCAAATCCCCCTGCCTTGGGGACACCTCGGAGATCTTCCCCTGCCCTGCCCCGCACGGCATCAACACCCGCCTGGACCCAGCGAGGGCTGGAGTGGAATGGGCTGGAGTGGCTGCACTGAACCCCCTGCTCCTTCCTCCCCCCGCTCCTCATCCTCTCCTTGGTCAAAGAGGACAGGGGAGAGGCAGGAAGGAGTCATGTCCCTGGAGCTCAGGCTGATGGGGACAGTGGTTCAGGTCACTTCCATTCCCGGAGCATTTACCTGTTCCTCTCCACCACTCCATCCTTTCCCTGCATCACTTGGGGTGGATCCGCTGTGAGGAAAGAGATCTCAGCTTCTTCAGGCCCCGCCAAAGTGGCCCCCAAAAGCCAAGGAGGGTTTTTTTTTCCATCTGCTGTCCCTGCATCCTTTGCCCTGGTGAGCAGCGCCAAGAGCCTCCATAACCACGTGGTGGTGGGAGACAGACATGCTGACTGAGGATGTGGGTTTTAGGAAGAGATGGTGTCGGTACCAGCAGCACCATTCACCTACTGACCAACCCTCCTGTCCTCTGGGAAGCTCTGCATCCCCTCCATGTCCCGTTTCCTCCCTCAAGACTTTTCCCAGCACAAGAAGCTTTGGCGCTCGGAGGCCAAGAGCTCGATTCCAGCTGCAAGAAGGTCTCACCAGGCTTGGATAGAACCCCCAGTCACAAGTCCAGGGACCTTACAGAGACCAGCTGGTTTCCATCCTGGGGAGTCATGGCTGAGGAGACCCCAGAGAAGCCAGGATCTGAGCTCTCTGCCCTGTCCTGGTGATCAGCTGAGCCCTGCCCACACCAGATCTGGCCGTACCTGCTGCCCACACCAACCAAAACGCCTTGAGGAGCAACTTGCCACGATACCAAAGATTTTTTTTCCCCCTGCAGGTAATGACAATCCGAGCTCTGTCCTAAAGACAATTCTCTTGACCAGGGTTGCACCCAAAGGGCATTTTTGTGCTGTGGGGAGCAGGAACAAAACTGGGGCTCGGGGACACCCCTGAGGGTGATGGAGGATGAGGAACAGGAGGAGAGCTGGGCTCTCCCACTGAGACCTGCTGGTTCAGCCTGGCCACTGTCTCCTACTTCAGCTGTGGAAGTTTTCAGGGATTTGGGTCACTTCATTACCTCTGACACCTCCCAGTTCTACCTGGGGTGGAAGTTTTCCATCGACGACTTTTACTCTTTGAAGACCCACGGCCAGCAGTGGGGCAGCCCTGCCCCATCCCACGGGGCAAGCAGGAGGAACAGGGGCTCTTGGGGGTGCCCAGCTGGGTTTTAACCATCATTCCCCCACTGTGGCACATCCAGAGCTGGGCTTTTCCTGCCCTGAAGCAGATCGGCACACAGAGCTTTGGGAGCCGAGAAACACCCACAAACATCACCCCTTTTCCTGAGCATCCAAAACCTGGCTGGGGAAGACCATCAGCTCCTCGTTACCTCTCTGTCCCCAGCCCTCCTGGGGCACGGTGGGGTTGTCCCCATCCCCAACACACGTCCCCAGCACGGGGTGAGCTCCTTTCCCTTGTCTCAGAGGACACCCAAGCGACGGGGCTGGACCTGCGGGCGCTTCCTCCCCTGTCTGGGGGGGGTTGTGTTTTTTTAAAGGGAATAAATTCCAAATGCAAAGAACAGGTATTTGGGGTTTGTTGTTTTGTTTTGGTTTGTTTTTTCCTTTTTTTCCCCCCTTCGATTTTTAAGGAAAGGAAGAGGTCAGAGAGAATTAACCCCGGCCAGGAAGAACCCACAGCCTCGGGTCTGCCAGCCCAACCCCCCCATCCCCCCCAGAAAACATCACTCATTTTTCTGTATAGCAATAGGGGACACTTACCCTCATCCCACAGGGTCTGAGGGCCACATCTCTGAGTTTTTAAATGGCTTTTTCCTTCTAATTCAATTAATTTAATTATTTTTATTTTTTTGTTGTTGTTGTTGCTGCTGCATCATTGTTACTCTCATGGGATAGGTTTTACTCTACAGCAAAATGCAATTGTTACTCCTCTGTGTCTTGCAACTATATTTGTTTAAGCTATTTACAAAGGTTAAAAAAAAAATTAAAAAAAAAATAAAATAAAAAAAGAGTCTTATGTGTCAGGCACTTTATCCAAACTGTGCTGTGTGCTCTGGAGTTTGTTCCTCGTTCTTTGCAATGACTCATGCAGGGGAAGTTATCAGGAAATTTAACTCCAGCCTGTCAACAGGTTTTAAAAGAGAGAGAGAGAAAAATTAATCTCTATTTGTTCATCCTCTACTGGTCATGACTGTGTTGTATTTCTGCAGCTTTCTGTTTCTTCAATAAATTATTTTCTAGTCATTCACCCTGGCGCGTCTGTGTGTCCCTCCTGATGCCCCCCCCCCAATTTTAATGACCTCAGCTCCTCTCCCTACCCCCGCCCTGGCAGCACCAGGATGGAGATGCAGCTGGGGAAAAACTTCTCCCAGTTTTCCACCTCGCAGTTGCAGGGGGGTGAGAGCTTTCCTAGAGGAAATTTCTTGGCACCATCCAGCCCCTCCTGGCCAGAGCCCAAGGGAAACACTTTAAATCTCACAAACTCGATGCAGACAGGGCCAAAGCACTTGTTAAACAAACCCATCGGGTCGTGTGTGCTGCAGGCAGGGCCAAGTCCCCACGGTTGATGTAATTTGGGGTCGTTTTACCCAAATATCTTGTCCTCCTGTGCGTTTTGCCCCAGCACAAGCGCCGGTGACACACACAGGGGGACCACAGGAGCCTTTCCATGCAGCCTTTGCCCCTTTGTGGCACGGCAGAGATTTACAGGAGAGGAGAGAAAAGCCAGAATCCTTTTAATTAAAAAATGAGGACAATAAAAAGGGTGACCCAGTCACCAGTCAGCTGTTCACACACCACTCCTCCAGCAGCTGCAGAATGTACAGGAACGTGCCCCGTGCCCAGCGGGCAGAGCTGATCCACGGCCCCCCCGGGGCTTCAGCCTCCCCCAGGAGCGCTTTTTGGGGCTTTGCAGAGGACAACCCCTGGCCACAAGTTGTCCCCAAAGGGGGAATGGTGTGGAGATGGCACACAGAGGACACCCTGCCCCTTGTGCAGGGATGGTGGAGGAGGTGGGAAGGGCGGGGAGGGACGAGGAGAGGCTGCAGGAGCCAGGCTGGTTTGGCTGGAGGAGGAAGAACTGCAGGTGATCCATCAACCACACGTGGATCCTCCTCCAGAAATCAGGGGGCATTTCAAAATCACACTGCTCGGGTCTGAGAGACCTGGGCTACTGGGAGGTGGCCCTACCCATGGCAGGGGGTGGAGAGAGATGAGCTTTAGGATCTTCCAGCCCCAACCACTCAGGGACTCTGTGATTGTGTGATCTGTTGGGTTGATTGTGTGCTCTGTTGGAAAGCCAGGTGGTAGAAACCAGCCCTGTGTGGGGAACACAGGACAAAGCTCTCTGTGCAGCCTCTGCAGCTCAGCCCACGGAGGGGGGTGGGGGTGAGCAGGGTGAGGGGCAGCACCCACCATCAGGGTGTTTAATTCATTCAGAGGTGGGATAATGACTCTGGGGCAGCTCCCTTGCTGTCTGTGGCCCCCAACCAGGAGCAGGATCACCCTCAGCCAGGAGGAAGCCTCGGCTCTGAGGGGCTCAGCAGAGGGGAGGGGGCTGAGGTGCCAGCCAGGGGCTCACAGAGTGAGGGGACCAGCCTGGTGGCAGCAGCCTGTGGCTTTCTCAGCTTTGCAGCCTCCTGCAAAGCCCATGCACACACCGTGTGGGTGTGACCTCCAGAGGTGCCTTCCAGCCCTGATTGAGTGATTCTGCGAGATGGACACACCCCAGGGGCTGCAAACCCACCAGATAAGACTAAAAGGTGGCCCAGAAGAGGAGGGAAGCAGCCAGCTGTGTGCCTTTGACACTCCTCCCCTGTCCCAGCAGGGTGGGAGGTCGGTGCCAGCCAGGGCAGCTACACCGAGGGGCTGGGGGGGGACATGGCCGGGGTCCCCTCTGGGATGGTGCTGTGGGTGGCCCTGCCCTTCAGGCTGTCCCCAGGGGTGGCCTTGGCTCTCAGGCCATCCCCAGGGGTGGCCCTGGCTCTCAGGCCGTCCCCAGGGGTGGCCTTGGCTCTCAGGCCATCCCCAGGGGTGGCCCTGGCTCTCAGGCTGTCTCCCCTGGTGATGAGCCCCGCGTAGCCCTCCTGGTGGGAGAAGGCGTAGCTGGAGCGGCGGCAGAAGGAGCCCCGAGGGACGTGGGCCTTCAGCTCCACCGAGGGCTCCGGCTCCTTCTTGGCCTTCAAGTGGATTTTCTGCAAGGAGAGGGGGAGATCAGGGCTGAGGACACCTCCCAGGTGAGCCCTCAGCCCAGGGGGGGACATGCAGGGAGCTTAGGGGCACGGTTTGGCTCCCAGCTCCAGCATGACCGGATTTTCCATGGAGGGATGAGGAATGTGGGGACTCTCCCAGGGGCCTGCAGAGCTCAGGGAGCTCTGGAGCACAAAGCTCCCCTCTGGGACTCCTTGTAGCACCAGGAAGGTGTAACCCACGACCCAGAGGGGGATGAGCTCTGCCAAGGCTGGGGTGGTACCGAGACCCGCAGCAGACTCCAGAGCCTCGTGGGAGGTCCTGGAGGCCGGTTCCTTATTGCAGCCAAAAGCAGACCCTCTCCAAGAGCTGGGGGAGGTCTTCTTTGCCCAGGGCCTCCTGCTGGGCCCTGGAACAATTTGGGAAGAGGGCCCTGGAGTCAGAATTGGGTGCCAGTGTCAAGAAATACCACCATGACTGGTGCCAGCACGGGAAGGTGACATATCCCACCACCACAGTCCAGGCTTCCTGGGGAACCTCACCCTTCCCATCACCAGTCCCAGACACCAACACCAGTGGGAGGCAGCCCACCCCAGCCATGGCAGCCCCTCCCAGCCCTCACCTGCTGGATGGTGGCTCTGCCCGTGGTGGCGCGGAACGCGTGGACGGTGAGTGAGGGGATGGTGTTCACCACCAGGGACAGCAGGACCACCAGCAGGACGTAGGGGTCAGTGAGGGCATTCCGGCTGGCATCTGTCAGCACGAGAATTTGGGGGGGAGAGGGGGTGACGTTTGAGTAGGGAAGGTGGAGAGGGCAGAGGGAAACAACTGCTGGGGGACAGGAGCCCACCCGTGGAGGTGCTGAGGGCTCTGAAGAAAGAGGTGGCACCTGAACTGGGGTCAAATGTCAAGATGGCAAGATTGGGAAGTGGCAACAAGGAGATGAGCCAGAGGGTGGGAAGGAGGTCATAGCACCAAGGCCAGGCTGGGCTCTCCTGGCTGGGCAAGGGAAGGAGCAGGTGGATGCCCAGGGCAGCTCACCTGGGAAGGAGAAGATGGCAGGGGCTATCCTGAAGGCATCAATACTTTGGGTCAGGAAGGAGAAGAGGCAGAAGAACAGCAGGCTGGCTGTGACCATCAGGAAGGACAACACAGTCCAGAACCTGGTGTCCAGGATGATCTGCGTGGACGAGGGCAGAGCACACAGTGTCTCACAGGGGCTGTGGTGGCCCTTTTGTCCCAGATTCCACTCTCCTCCATCCCGGGGGCGATCACCCCCCAGCCATGAAACCGCTGGGGAAGGTGTCAGAGCCCAGAGCTGCAGACCCCAAACACCTGCTGTGGGGACGGGCTGGGGAGGAGCAGATCGGTGCTCACCTCCACGAGGACCGAGAGCAGCGCCGACACGGCCACGGTGACAGAGAAGGACTCGTAGTCCCCGACAGCTTTGCTGCCAACGTGGTCCTCGAAGGCCCAGCGGGCGATGTAGAAGCTGGTGAGTGAAGTGCCGACCCCGTGCAGGAGGGTGAGCCCGAACACGCGGTAGTTGAAGAGCTGGTCCTGCTGCCCAGTCACGTAGAGCTCGGGGAACTGCAGGCTCTGCTTGGCACTCACGTCCTGCCGGGAGGGCGCCGAGCATCACGGAGGGGATGCCGGGATTGGGGGAGCAGGATGGGGCTACCCCACCCCACACACCCCCAGTGGGAGCTGCAGAGGGTCCCTCTGCCCAGTGGCTCTGGGGTGGGGGATGGAACAGGCACCCCAGCACTGGTGAGCTCCAAACGCCCCTCGAGTTGCTGATACCACACCAAGGGTTGTGAGATGGGGAGCAGCGGCTGCCAGGCTCGTCCCTACTCCCCAGGGATGAGCCCAGGAAATCCATACCTGCTCCAGAAGGCCCACGGACAGCACGGGGTAGGAAGTGTAGAAAATGTTGTAGAGTGCGAGGAACCAGCCCTCAAACAGGGGCTGGAAGGGAAGAGGAAGCAGCTGTGAGCTCAGGGGGGCTTTGGAAAGACTCAAAATGACGCCCAGGCCCCAAGGGTGAGTCCAAGAGACACATCCAAACATGGAAATTCCCAGGGACTTGGGCCAGGTTCTGCATCAGGCCCACATTGTCTGTGGGGCTGTGCTGTAGCGTTAGGGTTAGGGTTAGGGTTAGAATTAAGGTTAGGGTTAGGATTAGGGTTAGGGTTAGGGTTAGGGTTAGGGTTAGGGTTAGGGTTAGGGTTAGGGTTAGAAGAGCCCTCCTGCAGTGTTGACCAAGTCCCACTGACTTGGCCCTTGGGATAAAAGCTTCTGTTTTGGAGGAAACCACGTGGGATCTTTCCCTGCATCTGCCCAAGGCTGAGCTGCAGCTCCCAGGGTCGTCCCAAACCTCCCCAGGCTGCTTCTCCCAACCCAGCCAGGTAAAAAGCAGACAATCAGTCACAGCTCACCCAGGCAACCCCCAAAAACTGGACACGGAGAAAGGGAGACCAAGAACTGGACAAGGGAGAAAGGGGACCAGGGTGGTGTCCATCAGGCACCATCCCTACAAGGCATCCTGAGCAGAGGGGGGGTGGTAGCACCGCTGTGACCACCCCCCAAAAACCTCTGCAGGGCTCACCTGAGCCGTGAATCCGCTGTGGAAAGCGAACCAGACCTGGGCCATGAGCCCAGCAAAGGTCTTGTAGAAGAAGAAGCGGAGGAACTTGCAGATGCGCAGGTAGGCCCAGCGGCCGTGCACGAGCAGCAGGCGCTGCAGGTGGCAGAACTGGGCCAGGGCGTAGTCACTGCACTGCACCGCCTGCAGCCCCTCCAGCCCGCTGATTCCCACCCCGATGTCGGCAGCTGAGGGGCAGAAAAGCGCGTGGGGAGGTTTTTGGGGAGCTGAGGGCTCGATTTCCCTGCTGATTCCCACCCTGATGTCAGCGGCTGAGGGGGTGAAATGCACGAGGGGAGGTTTTTGGGGAGCTGGGGGCTCGACTTCCCTGGGGCTCGTGGGGACAGGGTGAACCCAGGAGTGGTGGGCACAGAGAATAACCCCCTGTACCCCACGGGGAGTGACAGTTCCAGGCGTGGCTGGGCAGGCAGAGAGTGCAGCCCCACGGCAGGGCTGCCGGGGAGGGGCAGGGGTGTCTCTGCCCGCTGCCCACGCTGGGGTTGGAGGTTTCATCCCGGTTCATCCCTGGTGCCAAAAGCAAGGGGCCCACCCTGCTCTCGGCCTGGGCTGCTCTCTGCCCTGTGCCTCTCGCTCCCCTCCCAGCACAGCAACCTGGGGAGCTGATCTGGGGCTCCCCCTGATCCCAAAGGGGAGGGTGAGGTGGTGGAGATGGCAGATTGGGCCCCGCCGGTGGGACACACCAGCCAAACCCCCCCTTCCCCCTGGCCCAAAGTGACTCACTTTTGATCATGTTGACGTCATTGGCCCCATCCCCAATGGCCAGGGTGACGGCCTGCTTGTGCTTCTTCACCAGCTGCACGATGAGGGCCTTCTGCTTGGGGGTCACCCTGCAGCAGATCACGGCCTGGCAGCTGGTGGCCAAGTCCACGAAGGCCTTCTCCACCAGGCTGCCCTGCTCCTGGGAGCCCCCAGTCCTGCCACGGGGCAGCCACCGCCACGGCCACCCCTTCTTCTCCTTCAGCACCTCTCCCGTGTGCAGGATTTTGTCCTTAGGGGAGAGCACACGCGGTCGGGGCCTCACCCACGGCCTCCGGAGCCTGGGGGCTCCAGGATGCTCCTAAACCTTGTAAATGCTACAGAAACGAGTGGCTCCAGTCTTCTCCAAGCTCACCACGCAGCAGACACTGTGACCATGAGACCAGTGTGTCCCAGTATGGCCAGAGGAGCACGTGATGGCCACCCAGCCTGTGCCATCCCCCAACCCCAAATGACCCGCACAAGGTTGTTCCCCTCTCCACTCTTCCTTCCCCAGCCCCAAATGGGCTTTTCCCACCCCTTGGGCAAGGAGAGGCATGACGTCCTCCAAGTGCTGGTGCCACCCAGGGCAGGAACAACCATCTGCCAGCACGGGCAGGGAGCAGAGAGGAGCATCCCGGTGCCACCTTACCAGGAAGTCCCCACTGACGATGACGGCTCTCCTCCTGTGGCACGAAGCCTCTGGGCACTGCTGGGATGGGTGGCTGCTGCCTGGGGCTCCCCCACTGCCACTGAGGTTGTTGTTGCTGGCCCAGTAAGCCTGGAGGATCTCACTGGGTGAGGAAGGGGTGGTTGGAGCTGAGCTGAGGACACCAGGCAGGCTGCCTGGCTTGAAGTGAGACCCACGGTGGGCCTTTGGCATCTCAGAGCCAGGGAGGTGGGAGTGGGGAGCCAGTGGTGGGAACTGAGGGGGGGTCAGAGAGGGCACCCCAAGGGCTCACTGACATCAGAAATCAGCCTCTCTCCCTGTGGCTGAGAGAAGCTCAAAGCCTTTCTGCTCCAAGCCTGCCAAGGAGGAGCTGCTGCGACAGAGGGGGAGGTCTGGAAAAGCCTCAGCAGAAGGGACTGTGGATGTGCAGGCTGGGACAGGGAAGAAGCATCTCTGGCTGAGTTCAGCTCTGCCTACCCTGCCCTGGTCCCTGTGCCCTCAGGTGTGTCCTCAGCAGGGACTGGGAACCAGGAGGTCACAGTTCCTCACCTGACCTCCTTCTCCTCCAGGATCTCCGTGTCGTCCGTCAGCAGTTTGCAGGCGTAGCCAATGTTCGTGGCAGTCTCTGCAACACACGGGGTCAGTGGTGCTGCTCCCCCCTCCCCAGGGCACCCCCAGCCCTCAGGCCCCACAGCTCCTTGTGGGCAGCAGCTGCTGGGGGCTCTGCTCCAGCCCCAGCCATCACAGAGGTGGCTTCCCCTGCCTCGGCTTTCCACGTGCAACCTGGCCTGGGGGAGAGCTGGTCTCAGTGGGACTCTGCTGCTGTATGAAGGCAGCAGCATAACCCAGTTCCTTCCCACTCCCAGGGGCCCTTCACCTCTCTGGCCACAGAATAAGCTGGGTTGGAAAAGACCCCTGAGATCATCCAGCCCAACCTTTGACCCAACACCACCTCGTCTGCTAGACCATGGCCCTGAGTGCCATGTCCAGTCTGTCCTGAAACACGTCCAGGGACAGTCCTGGGGAGGGGAGGAGCTGAAATGTGTCTGTGGGCTCTGTGGCTGCCTCCACTGACCTTGTTTGTCTCCTGTCAGCACCCACACTTTGATGTTGCCCAGTTTCAGCAGCTGGATGGTCTCAGGGACTCCCTCCTGCAGCTTGTCCTCGATGGCCGTGGCCCCGAGCAGCTGCAGGGAGGGTGAATGGGAGTCATGGCACGGGGCAGGGCATGATATGGAGCTGGGAATTACCCCTGGATGAATGAGGGTGAATGGGAGTCATGGCACGGGGCAGGGCATGATATGGAGCTGGGAATTACCCCTGGATGAATGAGGGTGAATGGGAGTCATAGCATGGGGCAGGGCATGATATGGAGCTGGGAGTTACCCCTGGATCCAACCAGCAGCCCTTGCTGTGGGTGGGCATGACCTGACAGGTACCTACCCCAGTGTCCAGGGACACGTCACAGAGTCACATTTGGGGGGGAACTCCACCTGTCCTCTCACCCAGGGGGTGGGTGTTGGGCTGGACACTTCACCCCCTCACCCCAGAGAGCCCATCCCCACCCTCCTGCCCTGTGGGGCGGGTGCAGACGGTTCCTCCCAGCCCCTGCCCCCCTCCCACCTGCAGGTCCTGCTCCATCTCCTCGTACAGCCTGTCCAGCTCCTGGGCACGGTCCTGCAGCAGCACAGACGCCTCGTGGTGCCTCCTGCCCCACTCCTGGTACTCGGCCTCGCTCACCTCCTTGCTGGCCACGCACAGCGTCCTCAGGGTCTCCTCTGCAAAGAGCTGCAGGCAGGACACATCAGCACAGCCAGGCACACCTGAGGGTCCCTCTCTCTGGGCTCTGACTCCCTCCCCCACCCTAAAGCATCCCCCAGGAGCATCCTTGCAGTGCAGCTGGTCCCTGCAGGACACCAAAGGTGGGTTTGGTGCCCTCTTACCCCCCCTTCCCGTCCCACAAGCAGGGGGGGCTCCCAGAACAGAAGGAAGGACAGCACCCAAATCCTGAAGCCAGAGGAAGAAAGAGCAGCAAGGGAGGCTCCAGGACAGCCAGCCCAAAGCCAGCAGAAGGGGGAGCAGTGCTGGGGTGGGACTCACACCCAGGGCCCGCTCGGTGAGGGCCTCGCTGGGGCCGCGGCTCCTCAGCCTCTGCAGGATGACGGTGTCGGCTCCCTTGGTGTAGAGCCGGATGCTGCCCTGGGGGTCTCGCACTGGGAGGGAGGGGAAGCACAGCTCAGGTCCCCTCAGGGATGGCTCCCACCCAGCAACCCCCCACCAACCCCATACAATGGCCCTGCTGACCCCTATTGTCCCCCAGGAGGCACCCACAGGGCTCGCTTTTCCACCCGTGGCTGTGGGAAGCACAGGAATTTCCTCAGGCCTGCATTGCCCCAAGGCCTCAAGGACTGTCAGTTCCTCACAAACCTCCTCTGAGCCCTGGGTTTACTTGGTTTGTCTTGGCTGCTCAAACCCCTCACCAAGGTATCAGCTGAGTGGGGATGACCTGGGTGACCCTCAGGAGCCCCTGTGCCACTTTTGGACACAGAATCACAGAATCATTTTGGTTGGAAAAGACCTCTGAGATCATCCAGTCCAACCCTTGACCCAACACCACCTTGTCACCCAGATCTTGGCACTGATGCCACGTCCAGTCTGTCCTTAAACACCTCCAGGGGCGGTGAATCCACCCCCTCCCTGGGCAGCTCATTCCAATTCTCAGTCACCTCAGTGCTCAGTCACATCCATCCCAGTGCCATCCCTTGAGGGCTGAGCGTGGAAGGGACACTCCATGTCCCCTCAGGGGCTCCCTGAGACCCCCCCAGCCCCCTCACCCAGGACAGACATCCTCTTGCGGTCGCTGTTGAAGTCCAGCATGGCCAGCACTTGGTAGGTCCTGGTCCTCCCCAGCTCTCTGATGGTGATGGTGTCCTGGGTTCGGGCCAGAAACACGTACCCCAGGCTCCTGGCTGCCAACACCAGGGCCTCCTCATCTGGTGAGGCTGCCTGGTAAACCAGCTGGTCTGCAGACAGGAGGGAAGGTTTGACATGGGGACTCCCAGACAGACAACGCTCGGGTCAGCTGAAATGCCCCGTTCCTGCCCTGCACCAACAGCACTGGGGAAATCCCAAAGTCCAAGCTAACAGGGAAACTCAGTCCCTTCTGGAGAGGGACTTTGGACAAGGGGTGGAGGGACAGGACACAGGGAATGGCTTCCCAGTGCCAGAGGGCAGGGTGAGATGGGATATTGGGAAGGAATTCTCCCCTGTGAGGGTGGGCAGGCCCTGGCACAGGTTGCCCAGAGCAGCTGTGGCTGCCCCTGGATCCCTGGAAGTGCCCTAGGCCAGGTTGGACGGGGCTTGGAGCCACCTGGGCTAGTGGAAGGTGTCCCTGCCCATGGCAGGGGGTGGCACTGGATGGGCTTTAAGGTCCCTCCCAACCCAAACCACTCTGGGATTCCATGATCTCTTCCACTCTTTGCCCCAGACAGGGACGGGTCATCCCCCTGTGCTTCTGTTCCCCGGGTGAGCTTTCAAACACACCCAAATGCACATGTCCATGACAAAGGGAGCCACCCCTGGGCTCTCACACCCTCCTGCTCCCCCACAGCTGGGCAATGCGAAAAACCACAGAGCCCTGAGGGGCAGCTCGAGGTCAACCCACCGCCCCTCTCCTCCACCATGACCGTGTGGCACAGCGCCAGCAGCCTCAGGAACTCCCTCAGCACGGGGTCACTGTCCCTCTGGGCGGCTTCCAAGAGCGTCACATCCACCTTCAGCTCCCCGTGGTGGTCCCAGGCTGGCCCCAAGCCCTGCAAGAGGCACAGGCAGGGTGAGGGTGCAGATGGAGCACAGGGGATGTGACACAGCCCGAGGCAGAGGCTGAGCCAGCCCTGCCCTGCCCACCCCGAGAGTGTAAAGAGGTTGGGAATAAAAAGAAACAAAACCAAAAAACCAGAACTGGGTTATTTTCTAAACCCCCCTTTCTAAAGCCCTGGAATGGCCCCTGAACGGGGAGGGGGGAGTTACTCACTGGTGGCTCTTTGTTCTCGTGGCCTGTGCCGGGACCTGCCAAAATAAAAACGCTGCAGTTAACAGGGAGTGGCACCAGCGGGGCTTGGAGCAGCTTCTCTGGAGGGATCCCTGCTCCTGGGGGCCAAAAACCAGCCAGGAAGGCAGAGGTTTGGGGTTGGTGTCAGGCTCCACTGGGATATCCAGGTCTGATCTTTCTGGCTTTTGGGCTGTTCAGGCTTTGGACACGATTTTAACGTTAAAAATTCAGCTCTACTTTCCCCCATATTTCAGGCTGCTGGGATGAGGGAGATGTTGCTCCACGAGGTGCAACCTGATATAGCAGGGAGGGCAAAATTGGGGGTTTATTCCTGCTTAAACACTTTGCTGCATTTTTTTTCCCCCCTCTCCTTTTTGCTTTTGTCACTGTCCATTTGTCTCAAGCTCCTGAGACAAACTTTCCCTTATCTCAGGAAAAAGAGCTCTGGCTCACTCCACCCCCTAAATTTCACTTGTTAAGCAACAAGAGAGCTCTCAAAAATGAGCTCAAGTGAGCACAGCAAGAAGAGTAGAAGGGACTTGGCAATTCTCAAGTTTTTAAGGGGGAAACCAAGCAGAATCACTCAAAATAACAACAGGGGGTGAAAAAAAAATTTAAAATAAGAAGAGAAATGAAGAGCAATGACACACATTCATTCTAATTAACCAGCTGAAATGGAATGATAATCTCTTTGGCCCCTCCAAACTGGTTGCCAGCCCAGGGTACCGTAGATGGTGCCGCTGACGCAGCACTTCTTGAAGCTCATGATGTTCTGGGTCAGGGTGCCCGTCTTGTCCGAGAAGATGTACTCGATCTGGCCCAGCTGGTCGTTGAGGCTGGTGCTCCTGGCTTTGGCTGGAATGTCCTTCACAGCATAATACATCCCCAGGTCCCAGTTGATAAAGAAGCTGTTCACCAGGTAGATGAATTCCAGCCTGGGGAGAAGGAAACAGGGGAGAAGGAGGCTGTTCCTCACATCCCAGGGGGCACCTGACCCAGCAAGGAAGGGCAGGGGGAACTCCCCACCTGGATCTGCCTGCTCTGGGCTGGGGGAGACAAGAGGGGGTTTTTGTTGCTCATGGCCAGGTTTCTAGAAGGTTCATCACCCACCCAGGCAGCTGGGCTCCCCTCTGGAATTCTGGCCCTTGATGACAGAATTCGCAGATCTGGAGGTTCAGCGAAGGGCCAGAAAGTTTGGAGAACTCTTTTTTTCCCAGCAGAAACTGTGATCACTGCCTGCTCACAGCGACCGTGCCCTTCTCTCCCCCACCCTGGGAAGCACCACCTTCACCAGCCTCACCCTCGGCCTGCCCGTGATTCCCAACACCAGAGCAGCTCCTGGATCTCCATTCCGGCACATCCTCGGTGTTTGTGGGATACACACCCCACCCACCCTTCCCCTCTCACACACAGGAATGAGGTGCCCCAGGCACAGCCCCAGTTTTTTTGGGGGTCATTTTGTGACCCAAGTGGCACATGGTGGGATCCTGAGCCCTGATCCCCTCCCAGCCCGGAGATCCTTACGTGATGTACATGGACATGGGAATGATGACGCTCAGGAGGATGGTGAAGCCCCAGAAGTTGAAGAAGGCCTGCTGGGCAGGGCTCGTGTTCCTGTAGACGGCAGCCAGGTAGCTGTGCTTCTCCTGGAACATCCTGGCCCAGAACCCAGAGGCGACAGCGAGGCAGAGGGATGTGACCAACAGCAGCAGGAAGATCTGGGGAGGGAAAACCAGGATGGGAATGTCCCAGGAGGAGAACATCCCATTGCAGAGCCCACCACCTCTCAGGGATCAACGTTGCTTTGAGCACCCCTGCTCTAGTGGAAGGTGTCCCTGCACGAGACAGGGAGATGGAATGAGATGGGCTTTAAGGTCCTTTCCAACCTGACCCACTCCCTGATTCTACAAGTGTGTTGAACTCAAGACATTTTGGGCAAAATATTGCAGGCTTTGGAAAATCAGCATCACCCAAGCAGGCAGCCTCTCACGAGGAGGCTTGTGAGCAGCCCCAGGAGGCTGGTGGAGCAGGGCAGAGGTGTTGGCAGCACACTCACCACCACCACCAGCCGGTCCATCATGCGGTCCAGCTTGGTTTTCTTCTGCTTGATCTTCCCGCAGTTCCTCATAATTTTGGAATCAAACCCTGGACAGGGAAGGTTTTAGACATTAAAACACGGCTCCCAGAGGGTTGACTTGCAGCTAAGTGAGGGGGGTTTCCCCCACAGCAGCACCTCCCCTCCTCTGAAGGCTTTGGAGGACCCAGGGTGTGGTGCAGGTGAGACATGACCTGGCAGGGGTTTGACACCACCACGTGGTGTCCCTGCCAGCCAGCCCAGCACCAGCGAGGCTCGGGACAAACATCTGGGGGCCTGGCTGAGGCAGCAGCTCCTCCACCTTGTCTCAGATGCCAGAAGTGCTGGGGCAGCTGAAAATCCCAGGTGTGGTGTTCTCCTCCCCCACTCCCAGCCCCAGGCGTGCTCTCACCCGCGTAGATCACCAGGCCGTAGCAGAGGTGGGTGTTGCGGATCCTGCAGCCCCTGAGCAGGATCCTCTCGCTGTCCAGGGAGTGGGTCTGTCCCCTCCACTCCAGGGTGCCTGTGAAGCTGTGCATGCGGCTGTTGGGCTCCTCGCAGGTCACCCTCCCTGGGGGACAGGGCACCCATCAGGGCAGAGCAACAGGACCTTCCTGAGCCCCTCCAAAGAGGGGCCTGGGGGTCCAGGCTTTGTCAGGGCATCTCTTGGAATGCAGCTGCAGGAATTCCAGGGCCTCTGGCAACTCCAGCAGCTTTTATTCTTCCATCTCTAAGTGTAGGAACAGACAGTGCCAAGGCACAACGCTTGGCTTTGGAAAACCTGGCTCTGCAGTGAAAGGCCTCAAGCTGAGTCTCAAGGTTCTCAAAATTAAGGAACCTTCTCCTTTCCCAGCCTAAATTCCTGGGAATGAGTGCATGATAGAGCTGTGGAAATTGGAAGGCTGCTGTAGCCCTGACTTTCCAACACAGCTTCTCCAGCACAATTTTCTCCATCCTCCTCAGGCCAGAAACAGTGAACCTGTGCTGGCTTGTCTGAATTAAGCCAGTGATTTAAGGGCACATTTCCCTCTTCTTCTGGTGCCTTCCCAGCCAAGTCGGAGCACCCAAGTCGAGCTGATTTGGAGGCTCAAATTCAGGTGAGGCTGGAAGTGCTGGCAGGTCAGTCAGTGCAGGATCTGCACTGGGATCTGAACTAGAGGAGCTACTGACACAACACCCTCCACCCCCAGAGCCTCTGAGAGGGCAGACTGAGTCTGGGGAGCAGGAGAGGGGGGAAAAAAAAACCCAGGGTCTGAGCTGAGGTTTGGGAACCAATATCTTGGTTGCAAGTGGGAAAATGAAGATCCAGGGCAGGGGGAAGGTGCACAGCGTGCAGGGATCCATGACAGAACCACTCAGCTGGGGAAGCACCTCCACTCGAGGTGAGCAGGTGGGAGGAACCGATGCATGGGCTGAGGGGGACAAGGGACCAGGGATCACTTCCCAAGGCTGAACCCATCCCATCCCATCCCACTGGGATGGCCCCTCACAGCTCCTGCAGACCTCACCATCAAAGGCAGCCATGCTCTCCTCGCTCCCCAGCTCCTGGTGGGTGACCAGAAGGGCTTGCCTGAACTTCAGGTTTGTTTCCCTGCGAAAGAGAGCCGGGGAAAGGGAAAATGAAACAACCTGCGGGGTGACAGAGCTGTTAATCCCGCTGGCAGTGAAGCCGTGGGGCAGAGGTGGCCGTTAATTACCGAGTGATTACAGGAGTGATGGCAATGAAAGGCCAGAGGGGGACTTGCTGTGCCAGGCTTGGGGCACCTGTGCAGGAAGAGCCCTGGCCCGGGGTCGCTGCTTTTAAATCATCCTGCAGATGGAGGCGGGGGGGGACAGGGAGCCGCTGCCCTCCTGCAGGCTGGGAGGGACTGAGACGCGGAGACACCTCCACCAGCCGCTCCGTGGCAACCTCGCAAGAGGTTTCGGACTGCCAGTTTCAAACTTCGGGGCTCAAAAACCACATTTCTAGGGTTGTTTGTAGGCTTGGGGCTTGGAGGATTCCCCCCACACGCTTTGGTTTCTCGCTGAGCCCTCACGGGGTGTCCATCCCGGGGGGGTGGGGGGCCCAAGATCGGGGTCTTCAGCCTCTGCCCCTCTCCCCCCACGGCCACGGGTGTTTCCAGCCCCCTCCTCACCCCGTGTCCCCTCCTCACCCATCGATCTCAGCGGTCTCCACGTAGCACAGGCTGCTGGGCTCGGAGCTGCACAGCAGGAGCACGTCAGCCTCGAGGAGCCCGAAGGAGGAGAGAGCAGCGGGGTGAACCCTTCCCTGCTCACCAAACCCCCCTCCCTGCTCACCAAAACCCCCTCCCTGCTCACCAAACCCCCCTCCCTGCTCACCAAACCCCTGCCTGCTCACCAAACCCCCCCTCCCTGCTCACCAAACCCCCCTGCCCGCTCACCAAACCCCCCCTCCCTGCTCACCAAACCCCCTCCCAGCTCACCAAACCCCCTGCCCGCCCCCACCATGCCCAGCCGGCCCCGGGCTCACCGGGACGAAGCTGTCCTTGCGCAGCCGGACGATGTCCCCGACGCAGATGTCGCGCCACTTCTGCCGCTGGAAGCTGCGGGAGATTTTTTTTTTTGGGAGGGCGGGGGGTTGGTAAGGGGGGGGGCAAAATTTTTGTCCCTGCGGGCGTTTGTGCCCCAAATTCCTGTAGGAATGGGGTCTCCAGGCTCCCAGCTGCGGGAGCGAAGGGTGGCTGAGCACTGCGGGTGGCACAGGGGCTGTCTGTCACATCCACGGCCCTGGGACCCGCAGGTGACAGGGACCTTCAGCCCCCTGGGCACGGAGAGGGGGGAAGTTCATCCTTCCCCGGACCAATGCTGAGCAGGGTTAGGTGTGGTGACCTGGAGGGATTCTGTGGCCAAGGAAAAAGGGGGGCTTTTTAGACCTGCTGTCTATGTGGTCTATGTGGTCGTCCCTGGGGGGGAGCAGTTGGACCTGCAGCCGATCTGGGAGCTGATGGGAGTGTGCAGAGCCAGGGACAGTCCCACCAAAACCCTTCCCAGCTGCTCGAGGGCTCTCAGCCCTTCAGAGGATCCATCGTCCCACAGTGTGGAAAACACGGGCCCAGCTTCCCAAAGCCCCTCACCTCTTCCCACGCAGGATGTCACAGGGCCTGCTGTTGATGTTCCTGTCGCTTTGGTGACGCCCCTGCACAGAGAGAGAGAGGCCAAAGTGAAGGGATGGGCCACGCCAGGCTCCCCTGCCCCAAAAAACAACCCCCTTCATGCCACCACCTGCCCCGGGGCAAGACCTGCGTTGTGAGCCATCAGAAGGTGTGTTCTGATCAATAAAAGGGCTGAATCCTCCCCAGGTGCTCCTGAGGACCAACCTGGCACTGCAACCAGTGGTAAAGGTAATAAAGATGACAGAAATGGGGGGTCTGGACCCCCCAAAAAAGCACCCAGCTGGTCACATTTTCGCCCAGGGAGAACACAAAGCGTTTTGGGTGTGGTGGAGTTGTTGATACCTCAGGAACTATGGGCAGCAGCAACTCCTGAGCTCCTCAGTTCACCCCAGAGCCACTGACTCCTCTCTGCTCCTGTCCCCCAGGACCCCCAGCCCCCCCCACTCACGATGTCATCGATCAGGTCCCGCAGGCCCCGGATGAGGAGGAGGCAGCTCAGGGGGAAGAGCAGAGTGTACCAGGGCAGCGTAGAGATCTCGGGGAAGGTCTGGAGGAGGAGAACATTACACCACTGTCACCACTGACACCACTGTCACCCCACCCTGGGATGCTGGTGGGGACTGAGTGACCCCCCCGCTCCCCAGCCAGGGCCTGAGGGTGGGAGGAGCCCACCTCAGAACCATCAAACCAACACCTCTGTTTGCAGAGACCTGGATTGATGGATTTTCCACCTCTTTTTGAAGGGGAATGTGTGAAATGGACTGTGGGTCTCTGGAGGGTTGGATTTCTGTGTTGGTCACCTGCATGAGCTCTGGCTGCATCCAAGCCCAGTGAGGTTCACAGAATCAGAGAATGGTTTGGGTTGGGAGGGACCTTAAAGCCCACCCAGTGCCACCCCCTGCCATGGGCAGGGACACCTTCCACCAGCCCAGGTTGCTCCAAGCCCCATCCAACCTGGCCTTGGACACTTCCAGGGATCCAGGGGCAGCCACAGCTTCTCTGGGCAAGCTGAGCCAGGGCCTGCCCACCCTCCCAGCCAGCAATTCCTTCCCAATATCCCATCTCTCCCTGCCCTCTGGCACTGGGAAGCCATTCCCTGTGTCCTGTCCCTCCATCCCTTGTCCCCAGTCCCTCTCCAGCTCTCCTGGAGCCCCTTTAGGCCCTGCAAGGGGCTCTCAGGTCTCCCTGGAGCCTTCTCTTCTTCAGCTGAACCCCCACAGCTCTCCCAGCCTGGCTCCAGAGCAGAGGGGCTCCAGCCTTTGGAGCATCTCCGTGGCCTCCTCTGGACTCTCTCCAGCAGCTCCACATCCTTCTGACGTTGGGAAACTTTAATTTAAAGCAACCAAACTTAAACCCCTCAAAGCTCATGAAAGACACCGAACGCCACAGAGAAACAACATCCTCGGAAACCTTTCAGACCCAAACCCCTCCTCTGGCAGACACCTCTCCCACGCTCCCCTGGTGTCCCCCTCACCTGTAAGAGGATGACAAAGACGAAGTAGACGTTGGCCATCCTGTGGAACTGCTCGTAGAGGTTCAGGGGCAGGAAGGTGAGGAGGTTGTACTTGGCTGTTTTGATGGCATTGCCCTGCAGGGGGAAAGGCAGGTCACAAATCAAGGATCTGCTTGATGAATCCCATAAAATTCTGGTAGTTTGTTTTTTTTTTCATGGGGTAAGAGATGCCTTAAAAAATAAATGAAGTAGCAGGGGAAAAAAAGGGATTATTGGAGCAAAGGGACACTTAAAACTGAAACAAAATAATTTCTTTTTGATCATTAAAGTCCACCTAACTGACCCTGAACAGATGGTCATTATTTAGCTAAAAATATATATATATAATTAAAAAAAATAAATCTGGTTTTGTTCAATTAAAGCTTTTTGAAAAATCTTTGTGTTAGACCATCAGGCAAACAAGTTTCCTTCGCACGGTTCTGGTCCTTGCCTGACAGCTTTGGGGGGCACCAGGCAGGGAGGGAGCAGCCCTTCTCCTCACTGAGGGCTGTGCATGGGACCCTGCACCCCGCTGGAGACCCCTCTGGAGCATCTCTGCCGTGTGCCCCCCAACCACCACGGGCTCAGGAGTGAGGGGCTGGGTGAGGGGCTGGGTGAGGGGCTGGCCCAGGCTGGGCTGGCTCACCCTGTATTTCCTCTTGCTCAGGCAGAAGGCCACTCTCCTCTTGCACTGCGCGTGGTACCGGCGGTCGTTGGCCCTCACCTCCCACGTGAAGGCTGGGAAGGCAAGAGGGACACCCAGCAGCTCCCACCAGAGCCAGACCCCCAGCTCAGGGTGCCAGGGGCCCCCAGGACCAGCGAGGGTGCCACTGGGCTCGTGGTGACCCACTGGTAGGGGGCATTCCCATTTGAGGGGTGCTGCTGGAGGCCCAGCTGGGACAGAGCTGGGGGACAGGGCCAGGAGAGCAGAAGCTTCCAGAGATGCAGGAAAAGTGGCAAACACTCCCTCCCCTCCCTCAGGCTCACCCTTTGGGCTCAGGGTTTGGCTTGTCATGCACTGCAGGATGAGTCTCCCCAGCACGGTCTGTTCTGAGGTCCTGCTCGTTCCTCTCCCGGTTTCATCTTTGCCATCCCGAGTTTTGCCACCCCAATATTTCACTGTCCCAAATGTTACTCCCCCAATATTTCGCTGTCCCAGATATTATTACCCCAATATTTCGCAGGCCCTGCCAAGCAGGGGACATCCCAGCCCCGTCCCCAGCGCCTGCCCCACAGCTGGACACTCCATCCTCACCTCCAATCTGCTCCTTGCCCACCTCACCACCCTGTCCCACGCTCAGATTTCTCACAAACCATCTAAAAAGAAATTAAAAAAAAAAAAAAAGAGAAACCCCCCCACCTCCCCACCCCACACTGGTTGCCCACACTGACCTGGCAGCTTCTTCTCACCCCGTGGGCAGCCCGGGGGTGGGTCCTGCTGGGCCATGGTGGATCCAGTGCCAGGAGCTGGGAGCAAGGACAAGGCCAGCTGTGGGAAAGACTGAGCAGTAACAGCAGGAGCAGTGATAGGATCAGTCACAGCAGGAACAGTCACAGCAGGATCCCCCCAGGATGCTCCCCCTTCCCAAAGCTGGGCCCTGCAGCTCCCCAGGGCAGGACACCACGCAGGGAGGACACCACTCCCACACCACTCCCACACCACTCCCAGCAGCCTTCACCCAGCCCAGCTGCCTGGGGCAACTCAAAGATGCTTTTTCCCCCCTCTGAGGAAGTTCTGGGGCATCACTGGGAGTCGTTGGGTGAGGAACTGGAGCTGTCATCACCCTGTGCTGCCATCACACCCCAGCCACCCTCCATCAGTGACAGCATTTCCCTGAGCTCAGTGACCTTCCTGCAGGGATGGTGGGGGAGATTAATTAACGCTTGTGAAGCGCTTTGTGATCCTTACATGAAAGGAGTCAGTGAGGGATAAAGCATTAATTACCTTTTTATTAAATAATCCCACCACAAGTCTGTCCCTGCCATTATTTCTTATCTCACTCCTTTGATCACCACTTTTTTTTCCCCTCCCCATTCTTTCACTGAAGCATCTCCTTCCCTCTTGCTCCTCCTGGATGTTGGTTTGCCCCAGCACACTCACAGAAGCCACCAGCTGGACATCTGTCCCCATCCCTGAGGTCACCCCATCCTGGCTCCCATCCCAGGTCAAAGACACCCTGAACTCCAACATGGGCAGCACCTCGGCCCCTGCAGGCCACAAAAACCTCCTTTACCACCAAGGGCTTGGTGTTTGCCACTGTCCTTGGATCCTAAATGGCACCCAAGCCTGGTTTGGGCTGGGAGGGACCTTAAAACCCATCCAGTGCCACCCCTGCCATGAGCAGGGGCACCTTCCACCAGCCCAGGGTGCTCCAAGCCCCGTCCAGCCTGGCCTTGGACACTTCCAGGGATGGGGCATCACAACTTCCCTGGGCTGAGGAAGTCTGAGAAACCTCAGGGATGAGATTTCTTCCACGAGGGAAGCCCACAGGAGCCCCTCGGTGCCCCCATTGGCCCTTCCCGCTTTGCGGAGGCAAAATGGGATTTGACCCAGGGAAATGCAAATCCCCACATCCTCCTCCCCGCTGTGACCCCGCTCCTGCCCTTTGTCCCAGGGGCACTGCCAGCTTGGGGACACCTTTCCCTGCAGACAGACTCTCCTGGGCTGGATCTGGGTGGAAAGGGCTAAAGGGGGGATGACAAATCCCTCCCTCCCTCCCCAGCTCCTGGCAGGCACATTTCCCTGCCTCCTCCTACCAGAGGGATGGGCTCCCCTGGCCGCACCAGGAGCCTCCTGCTCAGGAACCACACGTGAGATGAGGGCTCAGGGGGGTCACTGCTCCACAGAGAGCATCCAGCAGGAGACAGGATGGACCTCAGGGTATCCAGAATGGGGAAACCGAGTCACCTGCTCACAGCCCTCCCAGCCAGCCAGTGCCCCTTGGTGTGTACGGGTGGAGGTGACAATCCCCACCCTGACCCCGTCCCTGGGAGTGTCCAAGGCCAGGTTGGACGGGGTTTGGGGCAACCTGGGCTAGTGGGAGGTGTCCCTGCCCATGGCAGGGGGTTGGAGCCAGATGAGCTCCCTCCCAGCCCGACCCATTCCAAGGTTCTAACCAGGAGCACTTAGGACAGAGCCAGGGGTGGCAGGTGGGGTCAGCCCCGAGCCTGGACCTCCAGCCAAGCTTGTGATGATGAGGCAGGTCCAGGTCCAAGCTTGGAACTCCACAGTCAGGCTGACAAAGGAGACGAAGGGCAGGGTGAGGCTCAGCCCATGCACGGGGACAGGACAGCCCCAGGATGCAGGGACAGGGCAGCCCCAGGATGCAGGGACAGGACAGCCCCAGGGTGCAGGGACAGGACAATCCCAGGATGCAGGGACAGGACAGCCCCAGGGTGCAGGGACAGAACAGCCCCAGGATGCAGGGACAGGCACAGGAGTGTGGCCAAGCTGGAGACAGACCCACCCACTCGGGGCCTTGGTCTAGAACTGACCCCTGGGCTGAGCTTCCCCAGCCCACAGCGATGTGTGAGGGGTCCCAGGGAGGCTGCTCAGGGCCATTAACTCCTGTACATGCCCTCAGAGTCCTGGCCCTTGGCTCAGAGCATCTCCTGACCCCGCTCCCTTCTCCAGGACACTGGGTGAGGCTGGCAGTGATCGGTGCCCAGGGGTTTCCCTGGGCTCTCTCTTTCCAGACCAGCTGGTTGATCCACCACATCCCCACCGTGCCTGGCCTCTCTGAGGCCCATTGTACCCAGCAGGGCTCAGTGGCTCCACAGTGTCCCTGTTCCCAAGCAGTGCCAAACAAAAGTATGGCTTATTAAGCACCTGCACTTGGCAGATGTGGGACACTCCACGGGCTGAGAGCCCTGCAAAGGGAAAAAACGCCTCTTGTGGGGCCCAGAGCAGGGGGAAAGGGGGGGGAAAGGGTGACCTAAAGCACTTGAAAAGTAAATTCATGGAGGTATCCAAGAAACTTCAGTTCCAAGAAAGCTCTTGACAAACCTCACCTGTCTCTTCAATGATTAGAAATAAAAACTGCTCTTTGGGGAGGGCGGGGGACAGGCTGGGAATGGGTGCCAGGGCTGGAGGGTCCCAGGACATCCTCTGACCGCTGCTCCCGCACCTTGGAGCCCAGCAGGGATTTCTTAACCCACGGGGCTGTTCCTCCAACCCAACACCGGGATGAACCAGCTGGTCCACCCAGCCCAGCAGGGAACGTCCCATCCTGCTGCTCCCTGAGGTTTCCAGTCCCAAAACAGCCCCACGGTGCTGCTGGGTGCCAACCAGACCCAAAGCAGGGCTTCCTCCCCCCCCAAAAACAGCGAATATTTTGCAGGGCTGAACAAAAGTCAGGTTTAAGCAGGGCCGGGCGTTGAGCCACGAGGGTTTGGCTCAGGCTGGTGAAACACGCGGAGATTTATGGCCCTCGCTGATCCGACCCCGCTGCCGTTCCTGAAACCACCGGATCAACGTCGGGCTGTTGCTCGGGGCAGGAATTAGTGCGAGACGTGTTGGGTTCGCCGGGAGCGCCCGGGAGATCCGGCACGGCCGGGGGTGGGGGGTCCCTGCTCACCTTTGTCCCCTCCTGCTCCTTCCCGGACAAACCCAGGAGGGACGGGACCAGCCTGACCCTCGTCCCTTTCCCGGGGCTGCCCCACGATCCCATAACCATCTCCGTGAGTGCTGCTGTTGTTTACCTGACCCCAGTGTCCCTGTGCGACCCCCCCTCCTCCAACCCCGCTCCGGCATCGCCCCCGGGCCATCCCGTGTCACGCATCGCGACATCCGACAGTGACAGCGACACGGGACGCGCAGAGCAGGTAGGTGGGTGCCTCCCCCTGCCCTCGTCACGCCGGAAACGCCCCCGCGCTCTGGTGCATCACGGCTCATTAAGAGCCTGTCGGGGGTTGTTTCCCCACGCCGGGGACGTGCCCGAGCCATGAGTTTCCCTCCGCTCGCCCTGTTTTTCCACCCGCTTTGGGATGTGGTTTCAGGTGAAAAGGCGGCTCCGCCGGTCCCAAAACGTGCCAGCATCCCAATCCCCGCGCCCAGCATCCCACGCCCGGCATCCTACGCCCGGCATCCTCAGGGGGTGCTGCCTTGGGTACCCTCCTTCTCCCCGGGGTCCAGGGGGAGAGGCGCAGCTCCCGGGGAGCCCCCAGATCTCCCAACCGTGTCCCCCCGCGGCCCCAGGGTGGGTGGGTGCCACCCTGCTGTCCCCGAGGTCCCTGTACCTGCAGCGATCCCGGGCTCCGGGCAGCGCCGAGCTCCTGCCACCTCGCCCCGGGCGGGACTGCTGCCACCCGTCCTGCCCCACGCGGGGACAGCCCACGCCACACCTCCAACCCTGGCTCGGCAGGGACCTGCCCGCCCTCCCTTCCTGCCTGTCCCTGTCCCTGCCCGGGCACACCCGGCCGCCCCCCCCGCTGCCCGGATCGATCGTGTCTATCCCAAACAGCCCGAGCTGCTGCCGCGGGAGCCGCTCCCGTGGGATCTGCCGCGGTGCCACGGCCAGGGTGTCCCTGTCGCCATCCTGCCGGAGAGCCGGGGGGTCCCAGCCGGGTGCCAGGGCCACGGGTGGGCACGAGCATGGCAGGGCAGGTTTGGGCACCCCAGGGGCTGCACTGGTCTCACTGGGGGGCACTGGTCCCTCCAGGGCTCCCGGGCCGTGCCCTGAAGACCGAGGAAGGAGCGAGGAAGAGGCCGAAAAAGGCACCAAAGAGCCGCGGAGCCTCCGAGCAGCAGCAGCTCCGGGACTGCGACCCCGGCCGGGGACAGAGGCCACCTCGCTGGGGACAAACTAGCGAGGCCAGAGCCAGCGCGGTGCCCGCCCTGTGCCCCGCGCTCATCCTGCACCCCCGCAGTGGTCCTGCCCCCGCCCCCCATCGTCAGACTAATTGCCGGCTGAGATTAATTAACCACAGAGACACGGGGGTGACTCCCCAGCGCCGGCCCCACAGTCCATAAAGCATTTACTGCCCAGCCAGGAACAGCTCCTCGAGCCCCAGAAACAGCACCTGCTGTGCCCCCGTGGCCCCAAATGTGTCCCCACGTCCCCAGCTGTGTCCCCTTGGCTCTGGGTCCTCATATCTGCAAACACATCCCCCTGTCCCCATATCCCTATTCGCGCCCTCCTCTTCCCAGAAGTGTCCCCATATGTTTCCCCATGTCCCTGTGTCCTCACACATGCCTCCATGTCCCCTGTCCCCCTGTCCCCATATGTGTCCTCACGTCCCCATAAGTGTCCCCATACATGTCATCATGTCCCCATACTCCCACATCCCCCATACCTGTTCCCATGTCTGTGTCCCCGTGTCCCCACACATGTCCCCACGTCCCTGTGTCCCCCTGTCCCCACAGTGCCTGGGTGACACTGGCAGCACCTGACCTACAGCAGTGGGGGCAGATTTGGGCACGTCCCCATCCTGGGGCTGCTCCTCAGC